TCATCATCTTTTTAAAGAGAAATGTAGCACCAAGTGTACAGAATAGCTTCATCATAATGAGTGACCTTACCTATTGAAGCTCTGGAAATTAAAAATTAAAACTTGTGCCTATTGATTGAAGACCCGTTCCACAGAAATATCAACATGTTTTTCAAAAACTTCTCATTGCCAAATTTGTTTTATACTCCATGTAAAATAAGTCTAAATAAGGCGACAATAATAACCAGCAGAATGTCAGAGCACCTTCTGAAAACTCAGTTTATACAGCTCTAAAAGCCTTCCTATCAAACAAATCAAAGTACTACTTTGTATTTGATCCAGAAGGACCTTGCGCTCAGTCTCCCCTCGGTCCTGTGCGGTCAAGGAGGCAGAGAAGTGGCTCGGAGGGACAGGCTGCATTAAAAGGAAACGCAGAAAGGATGGAGCCCCATTCTCTCGCTCCATCACACGTCTCATCTCTTTAGCTGTCTTTCTGTCCGGGGCCTAAAGTGACTTTGCTGTGATGTGACCAGGACAAACAACGCTTGATGCCATGACGGCTCTGTTAAGCGTGCCAATGTGGGTGTTTTTAGTTATAGCTTGTGTTTACACGTTTAGTAGTAGGCGCTTTGTGTCTGTTTGAGGGGAGCAGATTCTTGACTGTGTATTTTTGTGAAAAGGAGGGGTTAGGGAGGACAGTCTCTTTTGATTTGGTCTTAAAAGGGGTGACAGGGTTTTGGAAATCTGGAGGCACTATTTACTGAAACAATAGTTTTTGACCAGAAATAAGTACCACAGACTGTGATCTCATCTCCAGATGACTTCTACCTTCATTTTTTTTGTTAGTACTGAGATTTCATAGAGGGATAAAAAAGCTTTTTTGTGCTGTGTGACATGCTGAAAGCATGCTTTAGTTTTTGTAACCTTGGTGAGACTGCTAATGCTTTAGACACAAATATCTCTGCCTCTCTCTCTCCCTCTCCATAGTTGATTGTTTGACAAGTTCATTTTACCTTACTTTTCCATCTTGTGTCAAGTGTCTGTTTCCACAAAAAAAAGTGTGCTTTGAATCAAGGCTTTACTGCTGAAAAGAACAGACTTTGTTCCTGCATCTCATGGGTTAAAATTAAAATGGAAAAGAAGAAAAGACTGGATGGGTGTTTATGTATCATATAATAGGGGTAACTTGGGATTGGTCCCTCTGCAAAAGGGGCTTCTGACTGGAGGGAATTGGATATGCCGAAATTAAACGAGCCAATTAGGGAAGCTAAGAGTTTAGAGGTCAAAGCGTGCCCCATTAAAGCTCCTCTTCTCAACCTAACTTTCTAATTCAGAATGTCTCTTAGTCTGCTGAAGCAAGAAATCTGATTAGATCTCCTTGGCTTTCTATCTCTGGTCCTGTTTTTGTGTTACCCTGTACTGATTGCTGCTTTTGTTTAATTTGATTATTACAGACATAAACTGACACTGTAACCTCAAATGCTCAGACTTATTCGATATGTGGTTTTCCAATGCTGATACATATTTCCATCTCTAACAGCTCATATCATCCAAAGATTTAATATTTTCAAACATCGATGGTAGCCTTGATCAATTACATGTAACATTACATATGCTATGGTGGAAGACATACTAATAGTTCATTCTGGATTGCTCATGTATTTTGAAACAGCATAAAAACACAAAACTGGAAGAGTGTGATAGGAGTATAAGAGTTTTATAAAAGCATAATAAACTGAGAATAAAGTGCCCATACTCCTGCCCAAGCCTCATTTTATTTTTTTAAGTATAATATTCTATTAAAAAAAAAAACCTTGGCTTTAAACTGTGCATTTACAGCACTGAGAGATTTATTTCTGAATCCATTGTTTTAGAAAACAGGCAGTGTTTTTTTTCCTAGAAAGAAAAAAAAAAACTGAACAATATTGATCAATAAATACGTTTAGTAAAGGGATGATCTTAGGAAAAATCATTTAAAAATATAGCACATAACTGTAGTTGTAGATTCAATGAATAAAATATAGCCAATTGTTTCATTTTTGAATCATGATTTAGAAAAAGGTGTCGTATCATTCCAATAATTTTTACATAAAGTTTGAGTGGAACCTGTGGCAACACCTAAAACCAAGTTTGTAAAATGAAACAAATTACAATCACACCCTGCATTGTTGTGGGCTGCAGATGGTAGTTATCAGCCTCTATTTATATGGTCTTAAATAAACAAAAACAGGAAATGGTTGTAATTTAAATCATTTAAAAAAGTATATGATCACTTCAGTTAACTTCTTTCATGAAAACTGCCTTTTTAAGCTCAACCGAATTATTATGTTCAAAACTAAAACATTTTGCTGAAGTATCTGTTCTTTTGGCTTAAATAATGACAAAGTTAGTTAAAAGGCACACTGACTTTCCAAAGTCTGTATTTAAATCTTTGAATGCCTTTTTTCCCTAGAAACCTTGAAGATTGATGTTACCATTGTTTATTAAAAAAGGGACTTTTTTACATTATGAAAGGTTGAAATGCTGATGACCTTAGACAAATTCTTTAATACATATCTTTTTATTTTACTTTCTATGCTTTATGATTGAATTCATTAGATGTAAATGTCACCATGTCAGTGTGTAAATACAAAGATTCTAATCTGGTTGAAAGGATGCTTCAATATTTAGCTTTTATTAGCATCTGGTTTATTAATTTAACAAAGTTACTCACAGAAAAAGATATCTAGATGAATCTAAATCTGAAATGATAATTACTCAATAATTACTCCTAATGCATAAAATCCACAGAGCATTCTGTGATGCAGACCAATGCTTCGTTACACCATCCACACAGACCAGAAAAAAAACTGGGGAAAAGAGAAAAGGAGGACTATGTCTGTGTAAATCAGTGACTTCTTTTGAATAAGTGATTTCTTTTGTGTTTAATGTAGCTCACATATACTGCAGGCTTTGCAGTTGAATGCACGAGTGGCCCTGAGAAAGGTTGAGCACAACTGCAGTCTCTTTAAAGCCTCTCGGTTTGTCTCTAAAGGTGAGAGGTGAAGCCTCTCAATACCTCTGTCAGTGCAATACAGAAAGGAAAGAATATCTCAAGGTTAGCCCGCTTTTTCTTTCAACAAAATATGTGAGCCCTAGGATAAAAAAACATTTGCGTCAAAACCTGCCTTTTGAGTCTCTCAGGGACGCTGTTTTTCAGCACTTACATCCAACTTTCTTTTTCTTTCACTCTTTTTTTCCCCCATAACTTCAAAAAATCACCAATCAAACTAAAGGCTTTCATGCACTGATAGAGAAGGCTTCAGCTGCTGTCACAATCGCTCGGTGGGCATGTCCACTGCTGTTCATAGGAGGTGTGTTTGTCCGAGTGGACGTGGGAGACACTGTGGATTTATCTGATCTTACAAGCCATCAGGTTGAGCAGAGCTTTGCTAAACATGACCTGAAGTGTGCCGGCCCCCGAGCAAACGCTGCTGTCACCTTGACCAACCCGAGCTGTCATCTCTCTGAGTGGCCCATGAGAGCTGACAGCTGTGGCGTTCCCAAAACAAATCACTGCTGCGTTTGGTAACACTCCGCGTCCACGCGATTTAGCCCTTTCCGAGACGAAAGCAGGAGCGGCGGCTGTTAATGCTCCAGCTAATGCACTGCCTCACCCGGTGTGTTTGTGTGTGTGTGTGCAGGTTTGCCATAGCTTAGATTTATGTACTTTATGCCACCTCCTGCTTGAGTTGACCTGCCGATGTTCACATCTTTCTTTGCAGCCTTCTTTCAGTGGCTTTTCCTTGAACCATCTCTTCATCCTCATTTTTCTGACTGTTCAAACCTTGGGCAAATTTAGAGCCCAAATTATTAGTGATCCGTTTTCTGGTTTTTCAGAAAATAAACCTTTGGGCTCCCACTTCTAACTGAAGTGTTGGAGAACAGAAACATTAATGTCAATGGTTGAGTGTTTTTCATTCTTAGTCATTGAATTGATCAGATTCATTGCAACTTAGTCTGTACACAACAGAGTCTTATTTTTTTTCCTCAAACATGCTTTCTGAATGTGATTAACTTTTTAACTGGCATTTATTAGTACAATACACTGTGATTCAGTATCTCTAATGCTCCCCCACTAATCTCACACACACACACCTACCTGTCAGAAGCACTTCATAAACAGAGATATTTGATTATTTGATTTCAGGCTTTTTTTAGACATCAAACTAAAGTGGTGGAGATGTGGTTTCCATTGATGTCTTTGTTTTCATGTCACAGCCATTGCTCACATATTCTCATCTTTAGAGACTGTCTTAGTTAAATTCCCTTTCTCTTCATATACATATAAGACATATTTAAGACATATACTTAAAGAAAAGAATTTTAAAGATATTTTATAACTAAAATGACATCAGGTATGGGAGTTAGGGAAGTAGGTCTTTCAAATGGACCATTATTTTATTCCCCTATAATTCAGCATGTCCTACCAAATAGTGCACATAAACACCCCATTTGCAATGGCAATGTTGCATTAGTATTGCTATGATGGATATTCAATATATTGTGCAAGTGTAATATGTAGCTTTGATTATACACTGATACAGATATTTTCTGAACCAGAATGGTTTTACATCCACAGTTGATGTCGTATTTTTTTGTCCTGCATTATGACTAAATATGAATAAGGTATCAAAGAATGAGCCTTCGATGCCAGAATTCACCTTTTTTCCCCATCAGCTGCATAGCTGCTAAATCTGATAACAGATATGGGTCTGGTTGGCATCACATGACCAAGGGTAGTATTATCCTGTATATGTTAAAGAAATCTAAAAATATTACCTACTGATATTTTATTAACTTTGGCTAAAGTATTTTTTTCTACATAGATGCACTAAAAGGCTTAAAGTCTTATATCCCATTGTTTAATGCCAATGCGATAATCCTGCAGTCCTTCAATATATCTTGCAGAATATAAAATATTTTCAGCCACACTACATCCCCAGCTTATTGGCTGAATGTTGTCTTTGATTTTTCTGCAGATGTTTTAAGGAGAGGCTTTTGTTCAGCTACACAGATGAACAACAGGAAGGAGGACATGGAGATCTCATCTCACTACCGTCAGCTCCTCAGAGAGCTCAATGAGCAGAGGCAGCACGGCATCCTCTGTGACGCCTGTGTCATTGTGGACGGAAAGATCTTCAAGGCCCATAAGAATGTCCTTCTGGGCTCCTCACGCTACTTCAAGACTCTTTACTGCCAGGTGAAGGAGTGCGCATGCTGAGAGAATTCTGAGGACTATACATTCATTTTGCACCCCTTATTCATTATAGTCAAAAATTAAAAGAGTGTTTTTGTCATCTTGCAGGTTAAGAAAGGAGCCGAGCCTCCCCATCAGACTACTGTTACTCACCTCGACATCGTAACGGCAACCGGCTTCAAAGCCATCTTGGATTTTATGTACTCAGCTCACCTTGCCCTTACCAGTAAGAACGTGATCGAGGTTATGTCGGCCGCCAGCTACCTTCAGATGACGGACATTGTCCAAGCCTGCCACAGCTTCATCAAGGCTGCTCTTGACATCAGTATCCGCTCAGAAATGGCCGATGAGCTGGCTGACTTTGAAATGGGAGCTGTTGCTGCAGGTTTAGGAGGAGGTGGAGGAGTAGCTGGGGTTGGAGGAGGGGTAGGTTTAGCTGGAGCAGGGGGTGTTCCAGGTGCTAGCTTGGGAGGAGGTGGGATAGTGGGTATAGCCTCTGAAGCGTTGGCCTCTATAATTTCTGGTCGCAGCACCTCTCCCTGGCTGGCACGCAGAACTAGTCCAGCCAACTCCTCTGGGGATTCAGCCATTGCCAGTTGCCATGAGGGAGGCAGCATGTATGGGAAGGAAGACCAAGAACCTCCTAAGAGCCATGAGAGCCAAGAGGAAGCCTGTCATGACTCTCAGCCTGCCTGGCCTCATGACTATAGGCCGGTCAGTGTCAAAGAGGAACAAGTTTCTCCTGCCTCTTCTTCTCATCCAAGGGACACTCCCAAAGGGTCAACACATGTAGAACAAGGGACAGGGGGATCTAGTGGTGGAGGTGTTGAAGGACCCTGGCAACCTCTATCAGGGTCAGGCCGGAGGAAGAACAGGAAGAACAAGGATACAGTCAGGCATATTACCCAACAGGCTGAGAAAACCTGGGATCGGCAGCGAGATAGGGAGAGAGAAAGAGACAGTAGGCCTGGATCACCACTCCCCTCCATGCTGGCTGTCACTGGATGGACCTACAATGGACAAGACATTCCAGGTAAGACTGACGCCTCTAACACGGTTTATGCCAGCTGTAGTGTTAAAAATTGGAATTGAGAAACATTCCTCTGCAAAATCTCAGTTATCTGGTTCATGGCAACCATAAAACAGGCTGAAGAAGCGACTGGACTTTCAAACAGATTTTCTGAAAATGTTTAAACACCTATCCAGCAGTCTGTGTCAATTCTATCAGCTTGCCCTGAAGCAAACACTCCAATTACAGATTGCTCTAGTGTGAGCCGAGAAAAATGATAAAGACTCCTGAATATATGTTAAAACATCTTCAGAAAAACTGAGCAAAGTCTGGAAGATCAGCCCAAATGTTCCCAATATTTCCAATTTAGCAAATCAAAGGTTTCTCAATGAGGTTTTCCCTCATAATCCAACATATGATTAACACTCTAACAAAGTCTTTGCATCACTTTCCTTAGTTTTTTTTTAGATTTCTTGATCTAACTTTTTTAAAAGCTATTACATGTCGATATTCCTTTTAGCAAATTCCAAGTTTGTTTGTTTTAGGTTTTTTTTTAGCAAAAGAATAAAACACGTTCCCACTTTCTGTTACCTCTCTTGTGACTATGAATTGGTTGCTGTGAAATAGACTTTTACTAATATAAAACTAAGACAAAATAGTTGACATGCTTTAAAATTAGACATTTGATTTTTCCTATTTCATTTTCATTGAGCAATAATACAAGCAAGATGTACATTTAGATATTAAGCCATTTTAGTAGCGCTCCAAAGGAGGAGGTATATGGAAGTAAATCTGTGTCGCTGGGATTTGAATTAAAAATGCCACTGAAATTTAAATGTTGTATGTTTTTACTTACTGTTTCAGTGTTAAAATATATATTCAGAACACATTTTTGACCTAAAAAGAAGTTCATTGTCATTATTTCTATACAGTTGAAATTTCATTTGTTATTTTCTCTATAAGCTAAAAATTCACATTACTATTTCAAAGTGATTACATTTTCAGTACTTATTTTTCAGTTTAATTTTTGAGTGTTAAAAAAATCTGCATATAATATAATTCAATATTTTCAGCCTGAAAAGCGACACAGATTTACTTCCATATAGGTAGAAGTTCAAGAACTTATAAGAACCTACCCACAATAAGAATATATTCATGTCAGGTAACATATAAGGTCTTTTGCTAAAAGGAGGCATTACGAATTAAGGCACAATTACACAAATACAGTGTCTTAATTTGAAAGCAGTTTTACAGAAAAAAGAAGATATCTAATAGTACATATCGCAAATGTTGCAAATTATCACATTTAAATGTTCTGGTTACATGCAAATTTACCTGCGAATGTACATATGTGTAGAATTACAACATCAAATCAAATGTGTTCTAACACAGAAAGACTGAGAATTAGAAGAAAAATATAGAGTAACTCTGATATGTTTATACCTCCTTTTAGCTGCCGAAGAGTTCACTCCTTTGCTGATTTAACAAAATGAAAATGTCTGACTTAGCTTTTTAAAACAGGTTTCTAACATTATGAATTGTTACTTCTGAGTCATTTTGATGTAGCAACTTCCACACTGAAGAGTGTTAATAATGCCATCCAGATGCATTCACAATGCTCTAGTGATCAGAAAATTATCATACTATAGTTTTGCCTCTCTGGCTTGCTGCGTAGTGCACATGTACATATTTCTTAAGAAATTCTCTAGTTGAAGATTTCTGTATAGTGTATGTTTTGATAGCTTATATTGGTAACAGCCAACATAATTAGGCACAGCATTTAGTAAATTCTTTTACTCCAACCTGCAATTGAACATTGTTACGTTGGTGTGATATAATTATTACATCCGACTTCCGAGGTTAACCGAGTGCAGCAACTTTCTATTTTAGGAAAGTGATTTAAGCAATAGGGAAAACAAACCAGGTTTGGCCAATCATGTGCTTAGATTAAATGTCTTAACATTAAGTGGAAAGGACTTAAAAGGATAAATGAAGGTCAAAGAAAAGCTTTTTAATTTCCTGATGCAGGGTTGATTTGATGACTTCGAGGAGGCAGTGCTACAGTTTAAGTCCTAGCCTGTAAGTTTTGTTTTAATGGATGTAATTACTGAATGACTGGTAGGATAACAAGATTAGGTTCGATAATTGGGTAAAACTGTCATCTAAACACCTAATGTTGATAAAATCTATTTTAACTTTAAGACTGTTTAACCAATTGCTCAGTGGCTAAGACTAATCAAACCGTTGCGGGGACTTTTGTGGAGCTCATGTGCATGATACTTTCTAGACTGCCACCTGAAATAGTCCAACAGAAACTCAGAACAACTCTGTGGAAATTGACCTAATTTTTTCCCTCCTCCGGCATTGTGATTAGTGAGCTTATACACTAACGTGTCAGGCCTAAGATGATTATCTAAAATCTTGAAGGTGTGAGGTGAAGCCTTGGTAAATGCAGACGGATATTACAATCCTCTCTTCACTGTAGTTTATGTAAGCCACACTCCCAGTTACACAGACAAGCAAATGCGTACACAAACACAATGGTAAATGCATATTTATTTTAAGATTTCTCCCTTTATCCTAGGGCTTGCAGAACTGTTAAGCAAGTTGTTCCTCTGCAAAACTTATACATGATAAGTTACCTATGTGTGTTTGTGCGTCTTTGTGCATGTTGTGGGCCCAAGGCGTCAATAGGTAGATTATTAAAAGTAAGAAAAGCTAATCCTGGGCGCATTAAGGGAGTTGGCTGTGAAATGGGCACACACGTCGCGCAGTAAAAGAAAACAGGATAATTGAATTGACCTGGGTCACTGCACGGATTACCAGCACGTCCTCGCCATCCCGGGCTCCTCCCCCTCTCTCTGGGGTTTAGGGAAGGACCTTCTGGAAAGGGCGAGATGGAAGAGGAAGAGAGAGCGTTAGATTGGAGGGGTAATTAGAGAGAACAAAAATGCAGAGGAGCAAAAAGGAAATGGGAATTGAACCGTACCTGCTTCTGGGCTTATGAAGTGTTTGTCTCCTTAACTTTACGTGTCTTCAGTCCCTGATTTTGTGACCCGAAGTTGAACCTTATTACTTTGCCCAAGTACAAAATGTCTTGTGGCTCAGAATCACACACACTCATACATAATAACATACAGCGACAAAGTTAAATGGTACTATTAAGACTGTTGGCCAGTGTCATGGTTCTGGTAGAAGGTAGAGTTTAAGTCTGACTGTGGTGAAGCAATGTTTAATCAGAGCTGTTTGCTCACATTAAGGTTATAGAGGAAGTGTAGAGATGCTGCTGGTCAAAACTCAACTGGTGTTTGCCAAAAGGCAACCAGTCATTCTTGAGCTCTGCTGGCCAACATCAACATGTAAAGAATTATCCTGTCCACTCTTCCTCAGTGGGATGGCTTTGAAATTTAAGAGCAAGTTACTTTGCTACCACTCAAAGTTTTGTAGTTGAGCTTTGAGGCTTTTGTTGGCGTCTGGGAATGTTGGCAAGAAATCTGGTTTTAATTTTAGTTTTAAAGCATAAAGCTCATTAGATCTCTATAACTCCAAATGACAAAGGGTCAAAGGTGCATGCTGCGGCTCTTGTAGACTTATGAGAGTTAGAGTCCTTAAGTCTTAAGTCTTCTTAAGCCAAGGATTTTGTCACCTTTAGTCAGTGATCTAAATTAGGCGTACATGCACCTTAAAGGGCCAAAGAATTAGAAAGTGATCATTTTTTATGACTGATATATTTCTACTACATTGTTATGAAACATTAATAATTATTCTAAAATAATATTATTGATCATGCATTTTGCACTGAGCATCCCCAACTAAGTAACTAAGCTGATATTTAGCTTTTTAAATAATAGGTCTGAAACGATTAATCGGATTATTGAAATAATCATCAACTAATTTAGTAATCGATGAATTGTTAACTGGAGTATAGAGACTGTAAAACATGTCTTTAGTTGACATAGCAACTCACTTAGATCAGAAATTATAGGAATATTGTAGAAAAAAAATGGAAACGTTTTGCATTTAAGATAAAAAGAAAAAAATTATCTGTCAATATGCTAAAATCTTCAAGGAACCTTTAGCTGTCGGATTATTAATCGAAAAAATTATGGACAGATTAATCGATTTGCAAAATAATCGTTAGTCGCAGCCCTATGCAATAGTCAGGCTGCAAGCCTCCATTTAGCTGCTAAGCAGATATGCTGCTGTATGCCTGCCAGCTTCTGTTTTACAATGTAATTTCTTTAATAAGAGTGATAAATGTGCCTCTTCTGATTCCTTACAATCTGTAATCAGCCTCCATGCTTACAATAACTGTAAGTGTTTTGCCTGATCTGAAGTATTTTAAAATGGAAGATTTTATCTTGTGATCACTGAAAGGTTTAGGAGCCTTCTTTCAGAGAACTTGCTGGCAGTGTAACAATAGTTGTGGGAGATGTGGGGCTGAATTACTTTGCAAAGAGCCTGAGAAATCTCGGGTCACTCCAGGCACAATGACAGAATATGTATCACTTTGGGATTTTCTTAAACTTCGGAACACTCTGATAATGGAAAACGATTGATTTAAGTGAAAAAGTATCCCAAAGCAACCTGGCCCATGTGTAAAAAAGCAATAGATAGTTCTCACAGGACATCATCCTCCCTCTGGTTCCATACAAAAAATTGGGACCTAGAATCCACATGACTGTTTGTACATAATAGAACCACAGTAGTTTTATGTTGGGTTGAAGGGGGTAAAAACAAATGTGTTAAAACAATAAAGAGAAGTTTTCATTACATCCTGTTAATTCAAACAGATGAAGCTCAGGGAACTTTGCTACGAGGCTTTGAGTGTTGATGGGTTTTACAAGTTGGAAACACGAGCCAATCTAATGTGGCACAGATTTGCTCTGATCACTTTATTAGCGGTGAGACATGTTTGAAAAAAAGATGATATAGCTTTGAAAATTTGAAATTACATCAAACTATGGAAAATTAAAAGGAAACTCCTGCTTATTACGACTAACTTTTGATTTATATACATTTTG